AATTATTTAAAATTCTTTCTTTTTCCTGAGGAGACTGGTGAGGCCCCGCCTCCCTTGCCTCTAGTGACTGCACGTCCCTGGTCTATAAAGGTATACTATGGTTGGCAAGTGAGGAAAAATAATCTGAAAACCACCTGTCAAATGTAATTCTATTGGAAAAGTTTAAGTCATTCATTATAATTAATTGCTATCTCCAAAAGATCAAGCTATATCTTTAGGCACTTATAGTTTATGAAGTAAATATGCGTACTTAGTGATAGTAAGAGTGTCTATCACCACTTTTTTTCTTGAATTTCTTTATCCATCATTTTATCTGTTATCTGAGTTTTTTAATTATCTGTTGCTTTTCTTAATTATTAAGCACTCATTAAGGTATTAATTGAAAAACTAAGAAAGTCTAGCTTTAAAACTCCTTAAGGATTTTAATGAAAAGTAAAATGATAGTCCAATAAAACAGAAGTGTACATTCTGTGCATATTCACAAACACATTTATCATTGTTAATAAGTGTCAAATGATGCTAATTTTAACATTTAAACTATAATAATATTTCTTACTAATGCTTCATTGTTTTAAATAAATAAAAACTGATGAACAAAATGGGAGCAAAAGTTATTTAGAACGCACTTGACAAATACTAAATATATTACATAACTAAATAAGAAAAAATGTTTACTATGTGATGGATGACTATAATAAATTGAACAGATTTGAATTGCATTGTTATTGTGTTATTTCTTAGTAAAATGCTTTGGAAAATGAGCATATTGCGGAGAAAATATGAAAAAAATGTCCTTCAGTTGACTTTAAAATTTACCTTATTTATTCTGGATCAGACTACAGATTTATGGACAGTATTTTGTCTTAAGACAACCCAACACAATGTTTACAGGAAACCACAAATAGCATATCCTGTTTATGTTCCCTAGCAACTAGTATTGAGAAGCATGAAATTTTTGTTATTAACAATAAGTAATAACTGAGATTTACTCTTCATGAAATACAGGTATATACTTGTCTATTTTAATGCATTCCAGATGATATTAAATTGCTGAGAAGGTATCCTCATATCCACATTATACAATAAGATAAATATGAGTGCTTGTATGCATTAATGGGACATGGTGGCTCAGTGGCTAAGACGCTGAGATTGTCAATCAGAAAGGCTCTGCAGTTCAGCGGTTTGAATCCTTAGTGCCACGTAATGGAGTGAGCTCCTGTTACTTGTCCCAGCTTCTGACAACCAGTAGTTTGAAAGCACATAAAAATGCAAGTAGAAAAATAGGAACCACCTTTGGTGGGAAGGTAACAGTGTTTCGTGCGCCTTTGGCATTTCGTGCGCCTTTGGCATTTCCCTAGAATTAGGAATGACTAGCACATACGGGTGAGGGGAACCTTTACCTCATGTATTAATATCAATGGATTTATAAAATTATTTTTCAATTTAAACTAAGGCTAGTTGAACTCTCAAAGTGGAAATTTAAGAGTTCACAATGAAATCACAGCAACCAACAATTCTGAGTAGGATAAAAACAATACTGAGATCAACCTTGAAAATATATTTGAAGAATTGGAAAGTCATTGCTGAAAATGGGCTAAGTAGCCCA